CCCCAAAACCCCAAAACCCCAAAACCCCAAAACCCCTTTATAAAGGATTTAGTTTGGAATATTCTGAGAATTAACTCAAATATCTCTTCATGGCAACTACTATATTTTAGGTGGGAGTCGAAGAAGTTCATGCAGATTTCAAATAATGATCACCAATGCTCAGAAGGCATTGCTACCTGATAAGTGAGCCGCTTTAGCATGCTGCAGAGGCTTTGAACAGCTTGTTTCATTGTTCCATTGCGAATAATTTTCTTCCAAAATCGAAGAGAATCTTAGTTAAATATGAAACTATGGTAGATTTTTCTTAAATTATTCAAAAAATTTCAAAAATATTAGGTGAACAGCTATGACAAGTTACCTCCACTACGAAAGGGCAGCATAGGTGACCTTCCTCAGTGGAGATTCTTCCTTATAGCGATCAGCAATTATTTTCGAAGCACTTGGAGCAAAATTATTAAGAAAATAATAATTCACCAATCCTTAAGTAAATTCCTGAGACCCACTTTGAGCTACAATAGCATAAATTCCCTTAAGATAGCCGAAATCAACGGTGATTGGAGACTAGCAGTTATTGGACTAATATTTGACACAATCTGGATGATATGAGAATGAATTCTGTTATTTCTTAAAGATGGAAACTTTCCATAAAAATTGTTAACTTAGATAAAGAGAATAGTAGTATACCCCTTCAGGATTATGGGCTGCTCAAACTTCCTGGAGAGTTATTATGGCTTTCAGAAGCACCCACAGATTTAGTTTTCTGTCGTTGAAAAGGTAATTTCGACCAGCCTTGGCTTGCCAAGGCTGTGGAGAAACTATCCATCTCACCAATCAATGCAGCTGAGTGTTTTGAAGCTTTTCGGAATCTTTTTCACTTCTTTTTCTCTGAATGCTTCTTCTGGTCCATTGAGGAAATTTGGTCTGGAGTAAACTCAAAAATTGGTTTAATGGCTTTGTTCGAGGCTCGAGATACAGTCTTGTTCTGAAGGGGATTCTCCCTGACAAAGTTGGTCGAGAAGTGCTTCCTGTGCTTGCTTGGAAAATACTTATTTGCCCTCTGAATCAACGCACTATTTTGTTTCAAGCAAAGGTCAGGATTAACCACTAGATCAGGCATGGAGTCATCTCCTCTTTGTGGGCCCTTTTTAGAGTCGTAAAAGGCTAACTTGTCATCTTCATCATATTTCTCAGTTCATTGACCAATCGCAGTCCTAGAATATGGTAAATAATGGTTCAAATTATGTAGATGAATCAGAATCGATTCTTAAACAGCCAAATGATATTTTTGAGTGGAGTTAAGTAGCAATGAAGGTCAAGGAACCGACTAATTTAACCTCTCAACCTCTTTCAGACCTCAATCACTTGCTTAGAAATATTGGGATTTTTCGAACTTTTCAGAATAATTTAACACAGGAATGCAAGCAAAGACTTACTCTAGTGGCTCAAGGAGTTCATTTTCCTTCGAGTAATCAATTGGTAGCGTTTGGTCAAAGCATGATCTACTGCTGATTCGAAGACTAGCAGACTCTTCTTCTAGATGGGTTAGGATGTAAAGCCTACTCTTAGTTCGTTTAGTTCATCATTGGTTATTTCCCATATTTTCACCTGTTTAATTATATTTTGTCAATTGTTTTTATAAGGGATGGGGTTTTGGGGTTTTGGGGTTTTGGGGTTTTGGGG